TACTAGTAGATACCTCCTAGTTGGCAGTGAACAGGGTAAACTGTAAAGAACAAGAGTCCTTGTATGTTATATCCTGCAGCATTTTTCTCGTTATAACTCGCTATGACTGACACTGGGAATCTTGGACAAGTATTATTGTATCGTGATATATTCGTAACCAATTTGTGTTGATCGAAATTAATATTGACAGCTGTTTGCTCCGCGATGCTCGTAACAAGAACACCGATGGGAATTCAATGGACAGAGTAATAACGATAATTTTAGATAGAAAGACGCGATTAGTGACACATGGAGTAGGCAAATGTTCCAAAAGTTCGTCGAGTTTCGTTAATTTCCAGCCTTTTCCGAGGAAAACTCTCTTTGACAGCGCATGGACGTCGCTGGTTTCTCGATGTCTCGCGCGATTCGTCTCTCGCGAGGGATTGGAATATCAAACTGGACGTTGTGTTTTCTTACCAACGACAAAGTACAGTTGTTTCCTCGATCAATCTATCGTATAACGTTTCCCATTCTCATTCCGCGAATGCCGGAGCCACGGCGCGAGTATCGCGCGCGGTGCATCGACCTGCTTTCAGACGCTCTTTATTTCTTGTCGTCCGCGGATAATTAGCGATTGCTAGGTAAGCGTTCGAAACGACGTCGTTCATGGGAAAATCACGGCAATCTAGCGGTTACGCTGGAAACCGCGGCGCGTTTGCGTGGCGAAGCCGAGCGTTTCCTGTTCCCTCCACTGTTCCTTCGATTCTTGCTCGATTTCGCGAAACGCGGACACCGTTTAGCTACTTTTTCCACCGCGGCTATTTAGCAGGAGAGGTGTCGGTGATCCGGAGTCTGCACCGTGACGGTTCTACACCGCGGCGAGCAGAGGGCGACGCGGAGGATCGTTTCGAGGATCTTTCCAGGAACGCTTCGCACGCCGAAGGCGATGCAGGATGCAAAGATCGGTACGGACCGAGGAGAAACAATTTGCTGGGAAATCCTTCGGCTACTGCCGAGCACTCACGCGAAGGTTTCTCGGGCCAGTGTCTCTGCCAAGCGCGGATCGCCGATTTCGTTTGCTCGCGTGCCCACTTCCATTTCCAATCGTTTCGTCTAATCGCGAGAGAACGCAGAGGATCGACCGATCGTGGACGAGTTTTCCTCGCGTGGCTGTAATAATTGAGACCACGAACGTTATTTCTGCGACGTCGACGCGACCATTTCGGTGACGGCGAGAGCCCTCGAGAATGGGATCCGTGGTCGAGGGAAAATTGCTCTTGGCGAGCAATGCCGAAGCCGGCTCGTATTTTTGGCACGATAAAGGCCACGAAGAGGTTTACCTTCGAAGTCTCTCCACGAGCGCGAGTCACGCGCGCAAATCGAACTGACGGAAAGGAAGAAGAAAGGCAATGAGCCCGATGCAAATTCTTTCTTGTACCGGAGGCTCCTTGCGTGCTGGTCTCTCCTGTACGTAACTGCAGATCGATCCTACCTACCCCTTAGGAAGAACTTCTCGAGTATCGATCTCGAAATATCGTGCCAAA